TTTAACCTTGTCTACACCTTCATTACTGTGCCCTTCACTACAGATTACACTTCCACTCCTCCACTTAATTAAATGAATCCTACATCCTACGCTTCCTACACTACTACTTCTTATAACCTTCAATAACTTTCTTCCACGTGCCTCCATCCATCTGCCTTTCCCACTCCATCTTCACATTCTCTTCATTTTTTCCCAAATTCCCAGCTTTGGTGTTCTTATCCATTCCACCACAGCCTCTCCCTGAATGTCTGGACTCTGGCCTTGCCTTCCAAATTCCAATCTCTTGCCTCATCCTCAAAATCACAATAGTCTCTGATCCAAACACACCTCCTTTATTCCTTCCCCAATTTACCACCAGCCTCCAAAGCCTCTGTCCTACTTTTCCATTTCACTGCTTCACTTCCTTCTTCCACTATACTGTAGCCTTGCCAGTGCCCTCTGGCCCCAGTGTCCAGATTTGTATACACATCCTAGGCAGGACTTATTCCATGTAGACTTATTCAAAATACCTGTTGTTTGAAATCATCATATGAATTGACAGGTTTCGTTGAAGAGAATAACTACTCAGTTAAAATGTCATACCAATTTGAACTTCTACTAAATATTAACTAGAGGAACTAAATGTATCTGTATAAGAAAAGTAATTACTGTAACCAACACTTAGTTATCCATATTATTCCCCTATATGAACATTTAAGTGCAATCTGTTTCTGACTACTGACATGAATTGAACAGCTTTTCTTTATGTAGTACTCCATTACTCTCTCTACAAATAGATCTTTTTGAGTATATCCTGCAGTTGGAGTGTAATTGCCATACACTGGAAAATAAAACTGCATCTAGTGCATGGACTTCATGCAGTCCTTCATTCTAATATACTATCAGACCACAGAAAATACATATCTGATCCCTGGAGGGATCTTTGAATTTGGAGAAATGCTAAGTTTATTGATTCAGATAATAATGAATTATTGAACTGGAAAGCCACTTGATACATTGTTGTCATTTTCTTCAGATATAAAGAATAAAGATGGTTTATGGAATAATTCTTAGAATACAATGAATTTAGTTAAATGCATTTCAATATGTTTAAAGAAATATCTTAAAACAGAAGATAATTACATTTTCATACAATAATAAGTATAGCAAGTTTAATACAAATATTCACATGCATAAGAGTCAGTCATGTAATGCACACATATGAATATGGGGGGACATAGTAAATCTGATCTAAAATTGAATATTAATAATAGGTTTATTTTCAGTCTTACCTGTCAAAGTATTCTGAGAATAACATTTTAGATATTCCTATGGAAGATAAATTAGGAAGACACTTGCTCAATAGCTGTAATCCAAATTAATCAATGGTTGCTAATTTTTGAAGAGAAGTTTACTGATCTATACACCCTAGTACAGTTTCTGATAAGTCAAGTTGATCTGTATCCCAGAAGGTCTAGGACAGGGTTAGAGTAGGGAAAAGGGGAAAAAGAAAGAAAAGGCGTTGACTTACGAATCCCTTTGGTGCAGTAGAATAAGATAATAACATCAAACCTCACCTTTTTACTTTCACATAATAGTATAAACTAGCCATTTCTATAACAACAAACCTATCTAATCAGTAAAACCCAAAATCCACCTCAAGCACAAAGTCCAGAGGCTGTTTCCAAGTAGAAACAAAAGTAATTTCCTTAATCAAAGCAGTCGATTTAGCCATCTCTGCTAACTCCATCAATTTTTGCAGCCATTCATCCATTGTGAGAATCAAAGTGTCCTTCCATTTTTGTGCATAAAGTAATCTTGCTGCCATCAACATATACAGTATAACATCAAAGTTCCATTTTTTTCCAAGTCTTTTTCCATTATAACCAAAAGAAAATTTTCTGGTTTTATCTTTATATTCACTTTGAGAATCTTCTGTATTAGGATGTGGATCCTACTCCAATATTTCTTTGCTTTGTCACATGTCCATCATAAATGATAAAAGGTCCCTTGTTTACATTTGCATTTCTAACATTCATTTGAAATGCCTTTATACATTCTGGATAACTTGTCTGGTGTTAAATACCAGCGATACATCATCTTATAGAAATTTTCTTTTACATTATAATTTAGTGTAAATTTTAAAACCTTTCATCCACATATTCTCCCATTGTTCAAGCATTACATTATATCCAAAGTTCCTTACCCACTGAATCATGCAATGCTTTACATATTCATTTTCCAAATTCAAATTCAATAATTTATAGACCTAGCAATAATATATTCATAACTACCATGCAGTAGCATTTTCAATTCATTTTTCACAAAGTCAAACCCTTAACTCTTTTTGTCTGATTTAAATCTTTCTTTCAATTGTAAATATGTAAACTAATGACAGATACGTCCTTCTGATTCTAACTCCTCTTTAGATTTGAGGATAGGAGCACCAAATTTATAAGATATTATTTGACCATAAGTCCACCAGTTGTATTTTTGTATTTTATATTATATACTAATAAAAAAATAAAAAAATAAAAAATAAAACAGGGTTAGAACATAGAACATAAACCAGACAATCCAGAAATGGCAAACTATGATAGTTCTACTAGATATTTAGTAATATTATTACCAAGACCAATTAATATTATTGGTCTTGTGTACTGTACCAATATACACAAGAGAGACTAACAAATCTGAATAACATTGAAGTAGTTTAAAATATAGGGAGAGAGACAATACACTAAAATGCAAAATACAAATTTACACTGGGATAATGTCATACAGATATAAAAGATACCATACAGCCCTAGAAAGGACTACACTTCTATAGTGAATGTCAAGGTGTTCCATTTCAGGATGTTCAGAAATGCAAAGGTTAATTCAGAAAACTGGCAGAGAAGTCTGGGAAAAGCAAGCAATGAAGACACAATCAGGAGGTGGGTTTCACCTCTCAGATGAATGTAGATAAGAGTTTAGAGTTTAGAGTTTATTGTATTTATATCCCGCCCTTCTCCTGGTGGACTCAGGGCGGCTTACAGCCAGTTAAAACAAAAGAATTAATACAAATATACAAAATTTAAAATAAATTAAAAGATATATTTAAATAGGCCTTTTCATATTTTAAAAATTGATTAAAATCCAATTTAAAATATCCCTAGGCCAGTCCTGCCAGCTGAAACAGCCATGTCTTGAGGGCGCGGCGGAAGGAGGGGAGATCCGGAATCACCCGGATCTCTGGGGGCAGCTCGTTCCAGAGGGTGGGAGCTCCAACAGAGAAGGCTCTCCCCCTGGGGGTCGCCAACCGGCACTGTCTGGTTGACGGCACCCTGAGGAGACCCTCTCTGTGGGAGCGTATCGGCCGGTGAGAGGTGATCTGTGGCAGAAGGCGGTCTCGGAGGTAGCCAGGTCCGATGCCATGGTGCCAGAGTGCAGGCTGAGCCCCATTTTATCTTTGTTGTTGTACATTTGTCTTTTCTCTTTCAAGGTTATGAAAACCATGTAAGGGCAAAGCCTCAGCCAACAGCAGCCAGGCTGAAATATAGTGAATTGAGGTACTGGTAGCAAGCTAAATTCTTAATGAGGTGCTGGTGCTGGGTAAGGGATCTAGCCTCTAAGTACACTGAGTGTTCAGGTTACTGGAGGAAGGAGATTGCCACTTACCTTCTCCCTAGTAAATCAGTGGCAGAGAAGACTTTTCTCAAGTGAAGTACCTGGTGGCAGCCTCTCTAGTCAACTTGCACCACAAGGTGTTGGGGGGAGTGAGCAGCAGGTTTCAGGAGGAGGGTTTGGCAACTCCTGGGAGAACTAGCAAGAGACCAAGCCAACAGATCGCCTCTGTGTATGTTTGTTTCTGATGTCTGTTGCCTGCAAGTCTTTTTTGTCACTCACAGCATAAGGGTGAGTTTACCATCATCTATGTGGTCTCCAGGCAACTAGGGGACTGGAGGCTAAAACATACGAAGAATGGTTGCAGAAATTGGGTATGTCTAGTTGAATGAAAAGAAGGACTAGGGGTGACATGATGGCAGTGTTCCAATATTTGAGGGGCTGCCACAAAGAAGAGAGGGTCAACCTATTCTCCAAAGCACCAGAAGGCAGGACAAGAAGCAATGGATGGAAATTTATCAAGGAGAGAACCAGGAGAAATTTCCTGACAGTTAGAACAATTAATCAGTGGAACCACTTGCCTCCAGAAATTGTGCATGCTCCAACCCTGGAGTTTTTAAGAAGAGACTGGACAATGATTTGTCTGAAACGGTATAAGGTTTCCTGCTTGAGCAGGGGGTTGGACTAGAAGACCTCCAAGGTCCCTTCCAACACTGTTATTGTGTGCGTTCTGTGTACTTTATGTAAATGTGTGAGTCTCCTTACTAGGTTTTTTTTTTAAATTTGATTCTCCTATTTCATGCAGAAAGGGAGGTCACAAAAACTTACATTCTATATATTGCAGAAAGGTGGTTTTCAAAAATTATGCTAAAGTCACTTCAGCATTGTTTAGGAATACTGATTAATCTTGAACTGTACTCACTTTTGAAATAAGATTTCTGACCATTTATTTGGAGAATAATTTGTGTCTGAGTATATTTGTTACTGGAACATCTTCTCTGGAACAATCTCATGATGTGGATGCATAAAGGAATTCAAGGCCAACAGTAAGAAGAAGCTTGGAAAAATCAAGTCAAATAATTAAAAATAATGTTTCTATAATGTTTATAATGTTTCTTTACTCAGATTCTTTATATAACAGAATGCCTTATGGAATTTCCTAGGCATGTAAAATTGCAAAACCATCTCTGCCTGAAATTCAGATAGAGGATAAAGTGATTTTTGTGGCTTTTTTTCTAATATGTCTCACCTGTTTTCCTTCTTTCCTTCTTTTTTTCACAATCTCTTCAATCATCTAATGATTTTTAGCTGTGTTAATTTTCACTGTATCTTATTAAAAATAAGAAATTTCTCACACATACAAGCTTCATTGTTCCTGTTTAGTCTTCTCATTAATCTTCATGTTTGTCGTATAGAGACATGTGGCACAATCTAGTGGACATCGAAAATTCAAGTGCACTGAATGTGGAAAAGCTTTCAAATATAAACATCACTTAAAGGAACACTTAAGAATCCACAGTGGTAAGTATCCTAGTATTTTGCTTGTCAGTGTACATGTTTTTTACTTTTTGGTCATAGTATAAATTTTGTCTATTTTGAGATATTGAATATGATTTTTCAGTGAGTACTTAAAACAGAATAACATTCCATAAACAAAACTAAGCAGGGTGTTAGTGTTCAGATTCACTGAACAATACTGAAGCAGTTCAACCTTATAACTACTTTATAGATTAAATTGTGAAGTGACAATTGCATTGAAAATATTCTATGCAATGTACAAATTGTATGTACACAAGAAATCAAGATCATTTGCAGAAAAATTTGGAACCCTTTCGTAGTCAGTAGAAAGAAGGTGAACCATGAATGTATAAATACCATTCCTTTCAGAGGGTGGGAGTTTGGTTGCATCCATTACAAATCAAACAGTGTCCATTACAAACATATCAATAAGTCTATATTAATTTTGTATCTGGAAATCTGAACAAGTTATTATATAGGTATCAGGGTGGACAGAGGTTTCCTTCTATCTTTTATTCATAGAACTATTTCAGTGTTGGTCTTATAAATCCACTCTATAACCTCTTAAGTAAGATTTCTACATTATAATGATGTTTCTTTTCTATATATGTATGTATCCAGGAGAGAAGCCATACGAGTGCCCAAACTGCAAAAAACGTTTTTCCCATTCTGGTTCCTACAGCTCCCACATAAGCAGTAAGAAATGTATTGGTATGGTGGCTGTGAATGGCCGAGCACGATCAGGGATCAAGACATCTCAGTGCTCTTCTCCTCATTCTGCATCTCCCGGTAGCATAACAAGACCACAAGTACAACAAAAGATAGAAAATAAGCCCTTAGAAGAACAGCTCCCTGTAAACCAAATCAAAACTGAACCTGTGGATTATGAATTCAAGCCTATAGTGGTTGCATCAGGAATCAACTGTTCAGACCCTTTGCAAAATGGGGTATTTAGTGGTGGTAGCCCATTACAGGCAACCAGTTCTACTCAGGGCGTGGTGCAAGCTGTTGTTTTGCCAACTGTTGGTTTGGTATCTCCAATAAGCATCAACTTAAGTGATATTCAAAATGTACTTGAAGTTTCAGTGGATGGTAATGTTATAAGGCAAGTATTGGAGAACAGTCACACCAATCTTACATCCAAAGAACAAGAAACAATCAACACTGCACCTCTACAACAAGCTGGACATTCCCTCATTTCAGCTATTAGTCTTCCTTTGATTGATCAAGATGGGACAACCAAAATTATCATTAATTATAGTTTGGAGCAACCTAGCCCTCTTCAGGTTGTACCACAGAATCTGAAAAAAGAAAACCCTGCCCCAAATAACAGCTGCAAAACTGAGAAACTACTAGATCTCAGAGTGAAATCTGAAAAAGAAAAATGTTTTGAAGGAAAGACCAATAATAGAACTTGCCTTCTTTGTGATGACTGTCCAGGGGAACCTAATGCACTTCAAGAATCAAAGCACCATGATATCAAAAGTGCAGAAGTTAAGAAGTCTGAATCCTCTGTTTTATCAGAAGCAGGGAAGGTTAACCCATCTCATGGTCAACCTCCTTTAAAAAGCCTTTTATCCCTCCTTAAAGCCTATTACGCATTAAATGCACAACCAAGCTCAAACAAGCTCTCCAAAATTGCTGATTCAGTAAATTTGCCATTGGATGCAGTTAAAAAGTGGTTTGAAAAAATGCAGGCTGGCCAGATTTCTATAACATCATCTGGACTAGCTTCCCCTGAACCTGACAAATTAAAAAACTCTGTTAATAATGATGACCACACTGGACCTACAGCTGCAAATGAACACCAAGACAACCAGTCTAAAGCTGTAAGTCCTCTTAAGGCTGATAAACCACTGACTGTATCAACAGGATCAGCTCACAATGGCTCGCAGCATAACATACCACCCCAATCACCCCTTAACCTCTCTTCATCTAGAAATGCACAGGGTTTCTTGTACCTTAATGAGGTTGTCCAGGAAGAGCCACAAAGAGAACCTCTTGACCTGTCATTACCAAAGCAACATGGAGAATCATTGGAACGATCTAGTGTTTACCAGAACAGTGCATATTCTGTTCAGGAAGAACCTTTGAACTTAACTTGTGCAAAAAAAGAACCACAAAAGGACAACAGTATTACAGACTCTGAACCAGTTGTAAATGTAATCCCACCAAGTGCCAATCCTATTAATATTGCTATTCCTACAGTTACTGCCCAGTTACCTACAATTCTCGCCATTGCTAACCAAAAGAGTGTTCCATGCTTAAGAGCTCTTGCTGCCAAAAAGCAAACCATTCTTATCCCACAGGTAGCTTATACTTATTCAGTCACAGTTAACCCTACAATTCAAGAAACACCAAAACAGATGCAGGCCAATGGAAGTCAGGTAACTAAACTTATAACCATTTATGTTTGAAGCAGTGTCATTAAAAAAAATACCAGATATGATGTGGAAAATGTACTGTTAGTTTTGCTAATATTATATGTCACTTTGAATGATCATATGTGGCTGATTAAATTTAAAACATTTTTTAATTGCTGTGTATTTTTTTCATACCGAATACTGTATAAGCAAGGGTCTTTCATATCACTTCCTAGATGTTCTTTAATTATGTCACATAGCCTAGTACCAAGAGCAGACAGGTCAAGTCAGAAATCTGTGAGTGGTGTTGCCATTGTTTCAGTTCTGTCTATGGACTTGTCTAAAGTGTGGTATTTAATAGTATATTACACATGTCTAGCATGCATTTTATTATTATTTATTAAATTTGTTTGCCGCCCATATCGCTGCAAGGTGACTCTGGGCGGCTTACAACATCAAAATAAAATCATAAATATATATATACTGTATAAACATATAAAATCACAATAAAATTGTAATAAAAATACAAATTATAACTAAAACTAAAAGATGGGGAGGAAAGGAGCAGAATGTATTGGGGGGGGGAAGAGGTGGGAACTGCTATTAGTTGATCAACCACCTCCAGTGTGGTACTCCCCCATTGGGGCCCCAAGCCATCTGGCAGAGCCAGGTCTTCAGGCTCTTGCAGAAGGTCAGGAGGGTGGGAACCAATCTCACCTTGGGGCAAGATGTCCCAACAGGCCAGGGCCACAGCAGAGAAGGCTCTTCTCCTGGACCCGCCAACTGGAATTCCTTGACTGATGGGATTTGCAGCATGCCTCCTCTGCCAGCATGGGTGGGGCGGGCCACTCCCATAGGGGTAAGATGATTCTTCAAGTAACCTGGACCCATGCCGTGCAGGGCTTTAAAGGTGATCACCAACACCTTGAATTGCACCTGGAAGCAAACTGGCAGCCAGTGCAGCTCATGGAACAGTGGTGTAACATGGGCCACTCTAGGGGCTCCAAAGACTGCCCACACTGCTGCAGTCTGCACCACCTGAAGTTTCCGAATGCTGTTTAGAATGCATTGTAATATATTTCTAAAAGGATATAAATGAAACTTTGAGGATGCATGCTATTACTTTTTTGATCTTTATGCAAGTGATGTACCAGTTAGGACTATATCGAATATTTTTAAAGATATTTATCAAAAATATTGCCTATTTGTTCTACTGGAACAAATGATTGGAAGATATTTCCATTTGAATAGTTGCAGTGTATTAACACCTTTTTGGTACTGTAATAATCCTTTAGTTGCTGTTTTTGTCTGCTCAGAGTTCTCTCCTTCATTTTCCCCTTTATTATTCTTTGCTTCTGTTGCTATATATACCATATATTGCCCTTTAATACTTTTCAGTAGGCCTCATTATTGAACATTAAAAAATATGGTGTTTTCACAGTAGGCTTAGCATTGTGATTTTACCAACAACACTGTGTTCTAGTCTTCCCAATCAGATAAAAACATGTCAATAAGGCTGAATTAAATCAAAGGTAGGGACCAGTAAATGTAATTGTGTTAAATGGGATGTAACAAGATGATTGGTAAGATGTGTCATAGACATCCCAATATGGAGTAAGTTGGTGAAGTATGCCCAGTGGTGGGATTCAAATATGTGAACAACCAGTTCTCTGTGTGGATGCCGCTTCCGGAAGTCCATTCTGGGCCGGGGCAACAAAAAATTAGCTACCAGGGGGGGCAGGGCCAGCTGTCAAAAGAACAGGTGTGTTGGACGATACTCCGGAATGTCTATACTCGCTTTCGACCATTTGACGGACCCTTCAAGGTCCCGGATTTCTTGGAGGGGGATCCGAAATCAAGAGGCACCCTGAGGAGCGATCTCTGGTGGCAGCCGAGATTAGCGAACCCAGGAAGAGCCTTGGAAAGCTGAGCGGAGGAAGGAGACGGCCTTTAATGGCCACAAAGAAATGACAGCCGACAGCTGAGCGATGATAGTGGTGATCTAGCGAGATAGAGACGTGACAGATCCAGTCAAAGTAATCCTGATGTCTCAGTAGGAGTGATCCGGTGAAAGAATCTGCCGGAGGTTTTCTGGAAAGGACGAACTAAGGAGCCCAGAAGAATAAGAGGAGAGGAGCTTCCCTCCTCGCTCTTTCACTAGGGACAAAAACAAAGTTCGGGCACAGAAGGGTTGCCTGCATTGGTGCAATTACACCAGTTGGAGAACTTCAAATTGACGAGGAGTTTTCTTTGCCTTCCTCCTTCTTTTTTCTCCTTTCTTTCTCTCCTCCCTCCCTTTCTATAAGGGAAGTCTAACTTCGAGAGGCAAAGTCATTGTAAAACCACAGAGTGAAAGTGCGGAAGAAGCCAAGGAAGCAGACATTTTGTCCTGAGACTGTAGGCTGATCTCTAGAAATAACAGCAAGAGAGACACCTGCTGGTTGAATTGAGAACAACCCAGGAGGGAAAGTGGAGAGGAAAGCAGGGAAAGAAGATAAGAGGAAACAGCAAACTTGTGACTTAAAACACACTTAGTTTTGGTTGTAAGTATAAATCAGAAAGTAGTGTAAAATCTCTTTTCTTGAACTCAAAACCTAAAAGATACTATAAGGAACTATAAGGAAAATATATAACCATTGAACTTTTTGAAATGATGGATTCTAGCTTTTAATCAAAAATTGACTTTGGACTATATTTACTGATAAGCTTATTGTGGATATTGACTTTTGTTACATATATACATATATATGGTTAAGTATATGAATACTTGTATCCAATATATTTAATTCATAAGTTACTATTATATATAAAGCATAACATATTTAGCTTTGATATTGACAATCTAGATACTCTGGAGAGAAACGGAGTAACTGTAAATAAGTGGGGTGGCTGGTTTGAAGAGTTGAGAAAGATGACAAGCATTCCTAATCTCACGAGAGTTGGAATAGGGAAGAAGCAGACAATACATACCTCACCAATGGAACCAAGCCCAGCTAGGCAAAGATCCCTGGAAGAGGTGACACAAAGAGACAGAGCAATTTCATTTAAAGATTTGCAACTAATGTTGCAATCAATGCAAGAGGTGATGTGTAAAAATCATGAAGATTTAAAAAAAGAGATAGGGGAAGTGAGAAACGATACAGGGGAACTTAAGGAAAAGATGAGGTCTATGGATGGGAAATTTGAGTGCTTTCAGCAACAGATCATGAAAAACGAACAAAAAATACAGGAAATGGAAGAAAGAATGGGAAAAGAAGAACTGAGAGTAGACAAAATGAATGAGAGATTAGTTCAGGCTAACAGGGAATTAGAATTGACAGTTATTTCCCTGGAAGTAGAGAAGGCTGCCTATTACCTACGGATCCAAAATATTAGAGAGACAAAAGGTGAAGATTTACCAGTAATGGTGACAGATATTCTGGTGAGGGCCCTAGGGACTAGTAAAGAGGAAATGGTGAATGAGATCGATGAGATTTATAGAATCCACACGAACTATGCGAGACGGCACAACCTCCCCAGAGAGGTCCATATCAGATTCGTTAAGAAATCTGTCCGAGATGAAATATTATTTAGGACCAGAGATGATCCATTGGAATACCAAGGCAGACAGCTAATTGTGCTTAAGCAAGTACCAAGAAGGGTGAGAGATATGAGAAGACCTTACCAACAAATAACCTCTAAATTGATAAGAAAAAATATTAATTTTAGATGGTTGGTACCGGAAGGGATTATGGTCGTGTGGCAGGAAAAGAGGCTTTGGCTGGATACAATAGACAAAGTAGAAGAATTCTATAGACAAAATTTTGGAAGTGAGGAGGAATTAGTTGAAAGACAGGCAAGAGAAGAAGGTGAGATCCCACCACAGGCCACAGAAGGAAAGGAATTACAAATTAAAGAGAAGGGAACTGGGAGAGGTGATGATATAGAGACTGAAAAAGACAATGGGAAATATGATGAGGATAGACTTAAAGCAATTAAAGAGGTTAGATCGACAAGGATGCCAGTGGAAAGAGAAGTACAAGCTAAAGAGTCTAGACCGACAATAGTAACAAGATCCAAATATAGATAAAGAGGCAAAAGAAGGAATTGAGATTATATCCCTGAACGTTAATGGTTTTAACTCCCCATTAAAGAGGAAAAAATTCTTAAATAAACTGGGCAAGATGAATTTGGATATAATAATTCTACAAGAAGTGCATATTAAAAAACAGCATCAACATTTATTAAATTGCCCCAAGCTGGGAAAAATGTTTGCAGCGCTCTCACAACAAAAAAAAGCAGGAGTAGTAGCATATATTAATGAGGAAATTCCAACAAAACATATTTATAATGATGAAGATGGTAGAATCTTAATAATAGAAGTAATTTTGAATAAAATAAAAATAGCTCTTGTGGGAATCTATGCTCCCAATGAAGGTCAGAAACAATTTTATTAAAAAAACTACATAGCATTATTAGTGAGTTTGATTATGATAACATTTGTATAATGGGAGATTTCAATGCGATCAAGGATAGACAATTGGATTATAAAAGTGATAAGACCAGAAAAGGAATTAGACCAACATTACCTAGTACTTTCTTAGAAATGGTGGAGGAGTTCAACATTCAGGATATTTGGAGGGAGAGGAATACAGGGAAAAAGCAGTATACGTATTTTTTGGGGCGACATCTCTCATGGTCCAGGATTGATATGGCGTGGTTGTCAACAGACCTAAATTCGGAAGTGGAAGATGTTATAATTGATAAAAATTCGTGGGCTGACCACAATCCAATTAGAATTAAATGGAGAGGGCAAAAGAAAATAAGGAGGTGGACTCTGAAAAGAGCAATTTTAAACCACCAAGAATTTAAATTGAAATTGGAAGATCAAATGGGCCTATTCTTCCAGATGAATAAAAAGGAAGATACAAATTCCCAAAACTTATGGGACACAGCCAAAGCCTACATGAGAGGTGTCGCAATTGCTTATATGGCTAGGGAAAATAAAATTAAAATACAGTGACAAAGAAATCTTGAAGAAGAACTTAGCAGGGTTGAGAAAAATCTACAAAACG